TGACCCACAAACGGCGTAACTAAAAAGGCCAAGTAAAGTTAAACAACCGTAAATATCAATAGCTGATTTTTTTAATTTCGAAATGATTGTAGTATGTCTAGGGATTTACATTTTATCAAGGTCTAAAGATGTACAGAAAGGGAAATTCACGATTTAAGTCGAACCACTGATATCTTAAGAAGATTACTTTGTGTGTTAACCTCGTTCTAGTTAGTAAATCTGTGTTTGTATAAATAATAAATTACATTTTGATAATAAACATAATTTTGTACAAACTGGATAACTAATATAACTAATTACATAACCGTGGTTGGGATATTGCTATATTACGCATACGGCGTCATTTAAGTCGATATTTTCTTCAATTTTAATTCATTGTATATAATAAATTTTCAAGTGCATTTAACAGGTTGGACTCACATGACAATTTTTGTATTGGGTTATTTACATCCAATGTGTTTCTTTTACTGCACGTTATTAAATGTAAAAAGGATAAATTCATAACTCTGTGATTTTAGTTTAATGTATTTAGGATTAGTAGCAAATGGTGAATCATACGGCTTTTTAAAGTAATAATTTCAATAGCAAACAACAATTTGTCGATGTTGAGGAAGAGTATTTCGAACATGATCTTGCCAAATCTGCAATACATGTAGTTATCGAACGAACTGTGGCTATTTATCCTTCTTTAAACTACTGTTTTGATTACGAGTAATTATGTTTACATAAATATTAATTACTTGAATGATAACACGAGTTCCAGCAGATTGAAACAAGCTGTCGACCTTGTTTTACTTTCGGGTATTGGTTTTCTACAAAGAGGGTATCATGTACTTTACTGTCCAACCACAATGCTTCCGGAATCGCATTTTGTATGAATTGTAATTATCCATTCCAAAAAATACTAAGAGTCTTAGAATGTCATGGTGTTGAATGCCAATTAAATTAAAATTAATTTGAGATATGATTTACAGAGAATAACTTTCAGCCTAAAATGTTGTGTTTCCACGTGAAGTTTTAAGAAAGGAAGTGTGTTTATTTCAAATGTAAAACTCTATATTACTATAAACCCGAGGTTGCTAAAAATACCCAGTGGATGTGTACTATTCTGTTGCTATTTAGAATGAATCAAATCCCGGTGGAAATAATTAGACGTAAATAGTACTTAAGTTCCAGGTAATGTTTTTGCCTGCCAATTAGTGTCAATCTACAACTCGGTAATAAATACAGGTACGATACGGTAGATATCATTTCATTTATCAACAATCTTACAGGATGGTGTAGAGCAATTCCACCGATCGAGCAAAAGGTGGTTGATTCAAATAATGCCTCGTGTGCCTTGAAAGCCGGGCAATATCTCCGGATCTTTTGGGATATACTTGTACTCTCTAAAAGTAAAACGGTCAACAGTTGATATACTGCGATTATTTTTAGTGGAAGCAACTGCATAGTGTACTACTTATTCCTAATTTACTACAATTATAAAGCAAGCAATGCATTTGTTATTGAATTGGTAGTCGGAACAATCATGGTCAATGGTATCCTTCAATGGCTTAGCATAATTGTCTAAGCCTCTATCGCCATTGCTTCTTTTTTCCTTTTTAATGATGTTAACTTTGTTTTAATACAGTTTGTTCTCTTCGTAAATGTATTTTTATTGGTGATATTTTTTGAAAGAAAGTATTTACTTGGAAGGTGATAGGTAGTTAGGAATTAGTGAGGTATTCCTACTTTCATCTGAAACTCTCTTAGAATAGGTTCCATAAAAATACCAGACACCACTAATCTAACAGGTGTGGCGTGGAATGTCAGAGATATACCCAGTTATAGGTGGAAATCGGTAGTTAAATAAATATTTGTTAGAGAAATAGAAGCCGAGTAAAAAGGTAGATCTGTTTCTACACGCTCTGGGAGGTATGAATATTGTCTGTCTCGACTCCATACTAATCGTAAGATTCGTTGATTCTATACGACGGAACGTCGAGTAACGCAGATGTTTGTTTTGTATGTGTAGCATGAAACACGATAAAATCCACCTTCACTACTATAGCTACTAATCTTTGCAATCACTTTGCTGAATAAAGTGGTGCCCTGAAACCCTAATCCTCACTAGCCACAACTACCGTCTGTTACCTACCTAGGTAACGCACATATGACGACATATGACATACAAACAACAAACTACGACGTGCAAGGAAGAGTAATCAGATAGATGACTTGTACATTTTCTTACGAAATATCGTCAAGAATCAGGGTGTCGGAGCATCTGCTATAACGTCCCAAGTCGGTATTATCGAAAGATATTTTATGATATTCTTAATCATTCAGAATTATCTTAATGTGTTCTTTGAACTGAGTAGTATTTGTTTTATGATGAATAAACAAATAAACAATTGGTGATAATTAACGGGCGATATAATGGCGTTTATTTGGTCATTAATAGATAATATGTAATTAAGATAGCATCTCGACATGCAAATAACCTCCATGTTTATGTTGTTTATTTTATAATGAACTCAGATAGTATAGGGCAATATGATGATTATCATTGTTTCTGGGTCATTAAGAAATGCACATGTAACTGATGTGTATTGAGATAATGATAATGAAATGCTTATTTTATGTATATATTCGTAATGAACATTGTTTAGAAATCTCGTTAAATTAATGTCAATATTCCATTTAAACAGCTTTGAGAAACCTTTGTGATGCGTGAGTGCATATAAGTTTATAATATAAAGAAAACCATTCGCTTATTCTAACCAAACATAAAATAATTAACGTTGAAGCCTACACTATATACCTAATCACAAAAAGTCAATTTCAATTCTATAGAAAAAATTAAAGCGTCCTACGAATGTTAAAAACCAAATTTAACCCCATCCTGTGTAAGTCGTAGTGGGGTTTTTGGGTAATGGAATGAGCTCCGCTAGTCGATCGTCAAGATATGTAAGAATCGTAATTCACTATCGATTAAACCTAATAAGATATTTGATGAACAAATTTGTATATGGAATTTCTAAAATGAATGGCGTTGTAAACAATGAAACTAAACCTGATGACTGCGATCATTTTGCAATTTTCTTCCAGAGGTATTATTTCCCTTTGATTCTCAGAAACATTTTCCTTTGGTTTAATCATAATCACTAAATTGAAATTCTTCCAAGCGGAGGCAACCAATATCAACATTAGAACACTGTGTATTTATCTCTAAATGCATCCATTTATTTAAAGACTGTTGAATCTTTGGTATTGAAACATTTATTTCCTTTCTCAACAAACAATTACTAGAGTTTCAGCATGTTAATTTGATATAAATGAACTTTAACTTTGATTGCGGTCCACCCTCCTTATCTGTAGTCGATAAACCGAAACTTTAATTACACTTAATTAGCTAATTATATTTATTTATAAATCATTATAGATAGGATTCTGTAAACAACGGAGATAGACGTCTTTGATCGTTGACGTATGGAATGGGACCCCACAGAGCTTAGAAAACGAGGGGCGAAAATAGATCGATTTTAGTCAGTGTAAAATAAAAAAGTTATCTTGAGCTGTGTTATTCGAATTCAATTTACAAAGTTTCTGTTCGCCTTAGTACGGAATAACTACTCTGCTACTGAATATTTAATCGAGTAGCATTTGATCGTACTATTACGTAGTATTCAACTGTTACTTCGGTTTGGATTATTTGATTGCGTATATGAGAAACATGTACATATTCATGTGGAATAAAATAAGATAATGGCAGTCGTATGATGTTTATTATGCAACATTATCAGTAAACTGTACACCCCGAAAGGGATACATAGTATACACAAACAAAAGCATATTTTACTTCGCTCGTATACCTCATGTGTTCCAGAGATATATTCGGCCAGCGTCAATTAAAACATGCGACATGCACTAGCATTTTGAAGCTAACTTCCTGGTATGTTGATGGTGTGATTATGTTTCTGAATAGTGTATGTATATTTTAAGTTTTTTAAGTGTTTTAACATTCCTTTTTTATTTTACAGATTCAATAACATATATGTAAGTTGATGTTCCGGAACTCGTGTTACAAGTTCTCGAGATTGTATCAACGGAAGTTTGGCATTTGAACGTGGAAGTGACTTTTTAGTGTTTTATTGTGTAACATACTTAACAAGCTGGTGAAGTAGTGATTAAAACCTAAGAGAGGATAATTTGAAAATTCATAACCTCGTTTTAAGTCATTATTACTGTCAGTGAATATCGTAATATAATTGAAGGGGATGACGTATGAAGTGGACACCATGTACGCTATAAGTGGAATGGTTTATACTCCAGTTAGAAATCCTCGTGTAAAGTGCCAGTTCTAAGCTGTTTCAAGACCGTTGTGTATATTGAGTTTATTCCGTGGATACATACGAAAAAGGGCATTCTAACAGAAATAACTTATTCGTGTTTTGTATATTACGACACTGACTGCAGTATTGTGAATTTAATTACTGAATAATAACATCACCGTGGAAAAATTAAGTGTATAAAAATTGGTCCATAATTTTTATCTAGAAGTTGTACACTCTATGTACTCGTTTATGGAGAAAAACAGAGTGTAATTCTCGTCTATAATTACATATTTATTCAATTAGAATTGATCAGAAAACACGTGTGAATTGAGGCCGAGAACCTGTTACTCAACCTCAAGCAGGTGGCAAGTCTTCGATCCTGTGCTTGGTTGATTTAAACGAAATATGCTATCTTGTGTTTCGCAGTGGTTTAATTAATTAATAGTTGGACTCAACTATTGGATTTATCTAATTAAACGTAAAAAGTTGATTATTGTGGAATTTGTCATTGGTGAAGTTACATACTTTTAATATTTATTGGAATATTGGTCAATATCAGTGGTAAGGTTCTAAAGTTCTTCCGGAAATCAGTGCAATGTTTTAGTTGAGTGGAAGTGGTGGAATATATCAAGGCAATATGAATCAAATGTGATTAATTGAGAAAATAATTTTTTTGGGGACCAAATGAGTTCTTTATCATTACCAATAGGGGCTATTGAAATCCGCCTGATGCCTAAAATCGACCTTGACCCAAAATTATTGAACTATTGGGAGAACTTCCCCTGTCCACCACCATGGAATAATGGGTTATTATATAAAGTGAATTGGACGAACTGTCATGTGTCACAGGAAGTAGGGGTTCAACTGCGGGATTTGATGGTTGAAAAATGCGCCACCTATTCTAACGTGCAAGTGGTTGCTAGGGAAGTTGGTCGTGGATATCTATTCCAATCTTGTTCCATGGAATGTAAACTTATTATCAGTGCTGTTTGTTTCCTACTTGGATTACTACTAGTCGCTGGAATATCTCTATGTATAAGACGGTATGTATTGTTCCATTATTCCCAAACCTTATTCGGATCAATATCTATAGGTTTGCACTGATTACATACTGTCGAAGTAGTAGATGTAAAAAGTTTCATGCATAATCAAGCAGGACCATATAGTACGTAATTTCTTATTCAGCTGACCACCTATCTCTTTAGCCATACAAATGTATTTTTAATACGGGGATAGTCATATAAACGAAATATGAAATATGTGCATGGGTTACATATGCAAATCTTATTAAATTTTATCGGTTTGTGACCTTCAATTATGATCTTATCTTAACGTCCCCGGAAGAATTCAGTAATCTTCAAAAGAATAACCGTGAAAATAATATCAATTTAAGGGAGGTAACTACTGTTAATTGTACAAAGAATTGAATCTAGTCTGAAGCTTACAATTTGATTTATTAAGGGACATAACTCATGACTTCGTATTCGTTTAAGACATCACATCTACATGTATTTGGAAAAACATGATAAAGTATTTAACATATCATTGCCTTGTCTGTATCCTTAATTACCAATTCCAATACAAGATATTTCACGGTAAGATTATGTTTGATGTACCGTCTACATGTGAGCTTAAGATAGTGTAAAGTAAAGGTCCCTTTAAGATGAAAATGCAATTTTGGGGATGGGATGATCAAATATCTTCAAGAGGTACTACATGAAAGCACCATTTGTTCGATATTGTTTATCATTTTAGTTTTTCTGTCCGTCCTTTCAACATCTGTAGCATACAGGGGTTAGCAGCTTCTTCGCGAATACCAAAATATGTATCTCGTAAACAATATTAAGCTACTCTTTAAATGAGATCTTTCATTTACCAGACTGGTATCATCAGGTGTTCGGACAGGGTTGGCATATACTTCCCCCTAAACGAAGCCCGTCATACCACTAATCGAGTAAGTGAATGGTTGACATCTCTAAAATATTTTATCATATATTTATCGAATGGCCCATTGATGTTCCAGTGCCTTGGTTACTTTTTACTAGAATCATTAATATGTTGGGCTTCCTGCCAATCAAGCTAGAGTGTCAGTAATTATTGACAGATTACAATGACCAGAGTTTACTATCTCAGATCAACAGTCAATTATCCGTAAGTGTGACTGACAGCTTATGGTATTCACATTAGTCGATCCTCTCATTTGATTCTCGATTTTTTCTCGGATTTTGAATGTCGGGAGTTCTTTATTATGGATAATAGATATTACATTGGACTCTTTCATGAATGTTAAACCGTGGCAGTTCCAACCTCACTGGAAAGTTGCTTGCAGTTGCCCAGTTAGCTTTTGAGTTGAGCACTAAGACAGTTGTATGAGCTTCAATCGGAGGTTCGTGGACTTTACTCCCAGTTACTTCCAGTTGAATGGGTACGTTGGAAAAGATACATCGGCACATCTCAGAATATAGATAAAAAACGCTGTCAGGTATCATAGAGTATAATATGCAAGTTAAATCTATTTTATTCGATAATTATTGTTAAAGTAAAAATATATCAGGACGTTTAACAAACAACCAACGACCAACTATTTGGGTGAGTTGTTTATTTAGGTTTTTTTCGTTTATCCTCTACAGGAAACATAGAATCTTCCCATTTTTCTCGCTTCAACTGTAGCTCTGTAATTAAAATCGCTCACTTACAGACTTGATCTTAGGTTATTTTGTCAAGTAGATAAAGTACACAGTCATGTACTTATAGAGTAAGCTATCATATCTAAATCATTCTGGAAAACAAGAATGGGTCTTGACATAGTTGACCCAGGGTTGAACAAAGGGTCAGTCTGATCTGACAACCAAATGCCATCTATGTTAATAATAACTTTGATTTGATTACAGCTACAGTAAGAAATCTGATTCTTATTTTGTTACTTCTGATATTGTGATATCGTTGACTGTTGGTAAGAAAGATATGTGAGATCTTGTGAACGGGGGTGTTATAAGATGGAACATTATAGCTTTTGTTATTTGATACAACATCCAACAATCAAAAGAGGCTACAGAATATTAGTCAGATTATTTGTATTCTTGCAATTTAAAGATCATTTCAACTTTGTTTATAATTTGATAACTATCCAGTATTTTATGATATAGACAGTGGAACAAAACGTTATACGATAAGCCGTTGTGAAACTTCGTTATTCTACTTACAACTAAAGAGTCGGGCTAATTAGAACTTGAAGAAAGATATAAACTTCAAAGTAGGAGAAGTGGTTAGGTCCATGTTCCCACAGATTGGGTTGAAGTAGGAAGCATGTATTGGGTAATTTATCACTAGATTTCGACAAGAAACAGAGATTATCTTCACTCGCCCAGTCATTCTTCATTAGAAATAGATAAGATGTATAGTTTCATGTTATAAAAATAGTTTTCTGTTAACACGTGGGCTTAATAACTGATGTACGGAATCTTGGAATTGTGAGAATTATGTATCTGTAAGACCCCTCGTTTATCAAAAGTATCAAAGTACTTCGATGGTACAAACCTCTGGCAAGAATGCATTTAGAAGAGGCGATATACCATGTAGATTGGACAAAACCCTCAAGTCTGAGTTCTTCTCCACGAGATTGGCGTCCGAAACAAGAATAGTAATGCATTTTCCATCCTGCCAATTTTCTGTTGCTGTCTTTGTTCAACAAAAATATGATTCAAAATTCTGAATACAGTTGGTCAGTTAACTTAGTAGATTCATAACTGAGTCCTTCGTTTTATGGGCTTCAGTTAGAACTGACGTCGTGGGTTTTACTCGCAATATCCATGGCAAACGTCGTCTAATAAGCTTTGATCTCATTTCACATATGTAAACACACCATTTAGCATTTGAGTGCGATGTCATGTTCGGCTCTTTATTTTGAAAACACATCTCATCCCATCCATTAGACTTTGACAACATAGTTTCCATTTGTAGGGGTTTCTAACCGAGGTGAAAAGTCACTGGACGGTCTTTAAAGCACGAACTTTTTAAAGATTTCTTCTTTTAGTTGGTTAAGAATAAACTGATTGAGATTGGTATGCCTTAGTAATATATGTGTGATCTTTGAGTAGAGCATGTGATACTAATTACTTCTTTCTGAAATTAACAAACAATTCAACCAGATCCAGATTTTATATTCAAATGTCTCTCCTAATCTCCATAATGAACCCGTCTACTACTATATTTTAATATCAACTTCATACTACTACTGTTTTGGCAAGAGCTAACACCAAGCTGTCAACACCTGATATATATGGACATCAGGACAGTGTAGTATGAGATGCCATTATATTTTATGCACTCAGTGGTGGTTGTATGAATCATTAGGTGAGGGGACTGCGTAGGGGCCACAGAATTGTCAAGGGAGGCTCATAGGTAATTCTTTCACTCATACAAAATTTGAAAGTCGGGCCAGCCTCTGTTACATCTACCCACGTAGGAACGCGTGTACGAACTATTGCTGATCTACGGATCAAAATGCAAAGGTTTGATGAAACAAATTAACAACAATAGTAGTTGCATCAGATTCATTACTGTTGTACCAGATACTGCTAAGCTTCTTAAGAACATTAATTGACTTTTGTTACAAACCGACACAAAGCCTGAAAAAGCTGATAATGTTGCCAACATCTTGTTATAATCGTTTTTCTTCTCATTGTCAAGAATAATCATCAATAATGCCAATTCTAGTTTATTTTGGTTCATCTTATCTTTTTGCCATTTTGATTTTAATCATAAAAACTTTCTACAAGATTTGCGCTTCAATTTATTTATGTACGTGTCCAATTTATTATCTTAGCTACTAGATATCACACCAATCAGCAAGTTTTCTACTAGGATTTACTGTTCACAGTTTTCTTTTAATGTCGGCGATGGAAGTATCGAAATAATACAACGTCATAGCTTAGAATGACCTTATTTATAAAATACGTATAGAAAGTAAATGTATCTATTTGGATTACCTATCTGATACACGTTTTCTGTTACTTTATTTATTGCAGTAAGATGTCTAGAAAGAATGAATGTACTAGTGACTGCAATGAAACAGCACAATTAACATTAACATTAGTACTCTTTAAAATGAAATCAAGATTGCTCCAATTTTCTCTAGATCTAACCGTTTGAGACTAAATTGTCGAAATTATTGTACTAAACGCACCCATGCTCGTCCTTTGATACTGGCCATGTAAAGAGGTATTCACACCAAACGACAATTTACTGTGACCGCTGATATGATGTTATAACAGCACATTTCAAGTTCCATTCACACTTTGAGTCAAAATACCGTAACCGACAATATAATGATTCACCAGAAATAATGGTGGTTAGAGGCTCGTTCACACCATACAATCAAATACCGCGTCCAATATAAAGAATGTTTAATCATCTACATTGAACATCATTAGATTAATAACGACACGATGATCGTGTGAACATACCCTGATAGCCATCTAAAAGGATCTACTAGATTTAGTAAATGGTCATTGGATGACAAACAGATGCTGAAATCGCATCATTGAACTCGTTTCAGAATTTATGATTTATGAGCAGTAGTTATTATGTTAATATGGTTGGATATCTACACCGCAGATGTTGGAACTAGATTAGATAATTTGATACCTGTTTTATGTATATTTTGGTACCATCCCAGTCATACCGAACTGTGACCTTTTGCGATTTTACAGCGACTAGGCTGCGCTTAAACCTGGAGAAAACATAGAAAAAGCCCCTGAAAATTTACAAACTTAAAAACAATCGAATTCATACCGCAAGTTTTAATACTTAGACATCAGCAATTAACCTTTTGAACCTTTGAGAAGTGACATTGAAACAGTTTTACGTAATTAGTTCAATGCAGTTCATTTTGACTTAAATGAGGTACTGCATTTTCTGTATATTTTATGATCAATACTTTTTTCGCTTGCATTCAGAGTCTGATAACTAGAGAGGGAATAGGTCATGGTCAATATGAAATCGAATAAGCTCGTTAGAATGTATGTCTCTAAAGAAATGGCCACACCAACCGATAGAACGTTTTTAGGAAAAAGATAAAGCTTGCGATATAAAGATAGTAGTTGTACTTGCTGATCCAATTTGTCTACGTCATGATTTCTGATCGTTTTATATCTATCATTATAATAAGATAATATAATTTCTTGATATAGCTTCACCATCTGAGATGGTTTCGATTAACTTTCCTTCCATTTCAAGTTGGCTCAGAAAAATCCATCTGCGGTGATAGATGTTTTGGTGTAAGAGACTTCTATGAATAATGTACATATTGCAATATATATTTCTGTTCTCAATGATTTATTACAAACAGTATATTTTCATCACAAGGCGACCATTCATCATATCAGTTCCGTTTATCTGTCAACTCGCTTCGGGCTTCATTTCTCTTTTAAATACCACCTTCACCCTTCCGTGCAATTCCATAGACTTAAAAGACATTTTTCTGAACCATCTGGTAGTTAAAAGCGGAATAATTAATTTTTTCATCAGCTATGTAAACCCAGGCAGAAACAAGCTATCAATTTAGTCAATCATCCGGTAAATTTTAAGTGCTTGAAAACAAAGGGCGACAATTAGCCTTACTTCCGGTTGAAATACAAAACCAGATTTATTTCCTTTCGTTGAAAATTGGGATGATTCTCCAGGCTATTTGTCAGATTAAAGAAGAAATTGATCGATGAAAATTATCCCTGTCAATACCGATACCCGTAGTTTTACGTGAAGGACATTCTTCTTTAATTAATATTAAATAAAAGGGTAGAAAAGGTGAAAGTGATGCCAGGTTCCGTTAGGAAGTTGATTAATGTAGACAAACCATTCTTAGGATGGTCAATACAAATTGTTGAAAAACAATCTACTAATAAACAGCAAATACTTCGTTTTTATAAGATCGGTTATTTGAAATCCTCTCCATTGCAACGCAATTTTTACTTTTATGTTATTGACTTCAACATGAACAAATTGGTTATATCCTATTTTATGTAAGAAATTGCCTTTCAAAACTCATTTCATACGAAATTACAATTTGAGATGCAATCTTCTTAAAAACTGATCTGAAGATAAATGAATTTGTACTGATAATAGGAAAATATCCGATGTAAAATCTGAGATAAAGGATTTTGGGTGAAAAGTGTTGAAAACCAGGTGTAAGATAACACGTGTATCTGATATTTGTTTTCATAATAACTTATCTACAACCGTGATATATCTAGTTCCTGGTAACATGTATCTTTATGCCACGTGTTATGAAAGCTGTCTGGAATTTATTTTGATTCCACTAAATGATTTGCCTTGCATCCTGTTTTCTTTCTTCTCATGCTGATTTGCTTATTCTGCTGAAACATATTGCAAGACATCCTGAAGACGAAAACTAACATATGTCTCGCGATCGTAAAAAGTGTAATTCAAGTCACTTTTCCACTAATAATAATTACTTGAATATTCCTGATGACTATAAGAGAACCACGTTGTAACGATGTAATTAATAAATGTTTAACATGAATTAATGATCACCGCGTCTTGAACATATTTATGTGCAGATCTGTGTTTACTAAAATGTCCATTATATTTACCACGGTTGTGCATTGACATATTTGTTCGGCTATAAGTGAGGGTTTTATTGTACTAAATGTTACGTTGATATCATGAAGTGCTAGAGTGTTTTACATCCGCTTATGTAATTCCAAGAGTAATTTCTCAATTAACCTATGGTATGTTTACGTGTTAATAAATCATAAATTTCATCTTTTGTTTTTATCTAAATATTTATCATAAACCATTTTCGCTGACATCAGACAGAGATTATTTCTTGGTAAACTTGACTCTACTTCATTCACTTCTGCTGCTCATAACCAAACAATTCCCATTTAATTACTTCCAGTCTTCATATATCTAGAGATTTAAAACTACAAATTAATTCCGTCTAAAACCATCTCATGTGGATAGATACTTCTAGAAATTTATAAGAATTTTGAAAATCTCGTCTATTTTTTGTTTACTTTAATCTTGTAATGTTTATGTTGAACCCACGCGCACTCATTAAGCATTGGAATAAATAATTCATCTGTACTAACGATATAACCATCTTCTGATTCCTGTGGTTAAACAAATTCAAGCCATGATGCATATCAAATTATAAATTTTCTTAACAGAATGTATTTCAATTGTTTGTAGAGTAAACCTTTGTACATTCCTAAGTGCATTCATTGAAGATGCGTTGACATGAATTCCTGTCTTAAGTCAACCTTGCGACTGACAGAATCTGAGAGCAACTGAATTTTGACTTTTAGAAACTATTGGCATCCGACAAAATCTTATCAATCATCGAAGACTGAAAATTTGCAGTTGCAAAAGCTTGTGTACTATGTACTACTCTCCAGTTGATTGCAGTTGCTTGTAGTCGACGCTTCACCCATGTCGACTGTGGCAGGTCCCCTGAGACCCGGCACCACAATTACATCACACTCAATATACTGATTGACATTTAGCTGTTCCATTATTTCCCTTTCCATCTTCTTCAGTTCTAATTTTTTTGTGATGACGAACAACATATTACCTTGGTCTGAAACCATGCTCACACCAACAGCCATTCGTTTACATATGCAAGGGATTTTGTCAGTTGCAATGAAATGACTCCTTGGTCGACTAAAGGCTTCATTTCTGTATAGTACTTCTTAACAAACCATGTTCCCATTTTGAATTATTTCCACCTGTATTTCTTTCTTTACAGGAAAAGAAGACAAAAAACAGATTTCAGTCCGACACATGAAACGGCCTTGAACTCTAGTAGTGACCGGAAGTACTATACGAGTTGTATGAGAGGGAACAGTCCAGTTATCAAAAAGAAGGTAAGTTTTGAACTCTCAGGTTGTTGTGTATCTTCACAATGTCAAGCTATTGCGAACAATTATATTCACAAGTGCTTTTATTCTCCCGTCTCAGCTTTGTGAATAAAATATGCAATTAAAACGAATTGGACCAGCAAGCGTGATATCGACTCTTCGCCTCATAAAGTAAAAACCGCTTAATGAGAGAAATGAATCACTGAGATAAGAGAGCGAAACACAACTATCAGATTTATGATTTACGATTTGTTAATTCGATTGTCAGATATATTGCATGTTCTGTTGGGTTTTTTTTCCTTTTTTAAAAAGATAATTTTACCTACTAAAATCAACTGTGTAATTTGCCTGTAGTCCGGTATTTCATTTTCTCTCTGACATTTCAGGGCAAGAAAGATAGTGGAATGGACATAATGTTACTAGAAAGAGAGAACTTTCAAAATCTTTACACGGAGCCAGAGACAATGACTGCGGAACAACAATTAGTGGACCAAGAATATCACGATACACTGAATCAACAACTCATCAAATTGGCTCAAATGGCGGAAAACAGATTCAGTGACTCTCTTAAAAAACAGAAAAGTGAAGCGAATCGAACTAGTAGTGGTGACGTTGTTCACAGAGTGACGTCACGAGATAAAATACATACGTCAATTTCTTCTGAGCTTATCAAAAAAATCAAAAGATTATCACGTGATAGTAGTATGTTTAGAAATGAACCAATGATAACCGAGAATAGATTATCATGTGATAGCAGTTTATTTTTAAGGGAACCGATCAGAGATTCTGAGGACTGTATTCCAAGTACGTCACGGGTAAGTGTGTATGATGAACCAACGATTGTGTGTAGTAGGTCACGTGATAAGGAACATGTGTATGCGGAACCAAAAGGAAGCATGGATGATAATTTGGACCTGGATGACTTATCAGACGACATAATCACGTTTAAACACAGTTCGTCAGATGACCTATTTTCAAATTTGCAAAAAAGTTAAAATTTCCCTGGATCATGTGTGGTTTCTGCAGAAAATAGTGGAACTCAGTCTAAACTTTGCATCGACTAGGAAATGAATTTTGACATGTGTTTTCTGTTAATACACGCAACATTGGCAAATCCACAAAATCTTGGGATAGGTGTCCTTTTCATTGATAGGCTTGGTTCCCAAGTCAATCCGATAGTAATGAATTTCATAAAATATCGTTGGTAAAAAGGCCTAGGTTATCAGTAATGCAATGCAATTTAAATGGCACATATGTTCAGAATGGCATTAAATCACGTTATCAGTATTAGTTTTTATACCTTCATTGTTATTATTTATCAATAAATTTTACAGAAAATTCTCTATACGGAGAATAATGATAGATTATTCGTAAAATGGAATAATATATAACCGGGCAGATATATCAATCGAAGACCAAGAGATTGTGCAAAAGCTGTCTTAAATCACCCAAGGCCTAAGTCACCCTAGTTCGAAAGATCTGCCTCTATTCCAGTTTTAGATAGATATTTTAACAGTTATCGGATGGTCCAGCTGGTAACTGTCCAAATATCTATCAAAAACTGGAATAGAGGCAAATGTTTCGGACTATGATTACTCTTGGAGCATAATGATCTTATAGGTTATTCTTAAAGATTCATTACATCCTATATGAGATTTCGGATTACAACCGACGTAGGATTAACAGGAACAAGAATCATTGAAGCTCTATGAAACCCACTCCGCATCTAGCTACATAACATGCGTAATTTCCGACAGGACTGAAGTAATACATTTAATGACTGAAAAACACCATTTACCAGTTGGTTCATTAGATCAATAAACATCTTTATATAATGAAAATGCCAAAATAACCGGAAACCTCTTAACAAATCATACACGCCATTTCCAGATCGGCGTTAAAATTGCACTCTTTTCCTCTCGTATTTCATAGTGAATGACATCATTGCTTTTAATTATTATTACTGTTCCATGTTAACTTCCGTTTTCAGAAGAATTAATTGACACTTGAGATGTTCTTATTGTCTCGTGCAATTGACACATGGTGGATCTAGAAGATGTTGAGATGCCTGATGAAATTGACAAACGGTATGTCTTTTTTGGTGTTTTAAAATCACGCGAGATTTGACGACGCAGACACCAGATGGCGTGCAACAACCAGCCTCGACTTGAGACCAATTAAATTTGAAATTTGATCATACTTTAATGGATTCCTTGTCATTTGATTTCAACAAAAACAACTTAATGATGTAGAAAGCGACAGAAAATTCTTCCAATTTCAGGATTTGGTCACGTGGGAATAATTAGCTGACATGGACTCCCGCCTCTTTATTGGGTCATATTTCAATTCTAAACCTTTGCCTCCATGTTACTAAGCTTTTGTAAACAAGGGATTTAACCCAAACCACAACCTACGATGCCACAAGGCATGCTTTCAGAACATTATACCAAAATAACTTCAGTCTTTGCCGTTCTATTTTTGTTAGTGTTTCTGACCACAGATCCAAGAATTGTGCACTTGTATTTGAATCAAGTTGAAAGTATTTCTTTGCATCTTTTCAGATTGAATAATTTAATGTTTGTATAATGATGATATGACAATGAATAATTAACGTATATTTGTTCCAGCTATTCAGATTTGAGCTACCGAAGAACCAACTATATATATATATGTAACGATCTCTGTTGATAATCACATCAAGATAGCTGCAGTCTTTTTTGCGTAGTGTTTGTGACCACATACCCACGTTCTACTGTGATCGATTGTAAAACACGCCGGAAGTAGTTTTTATATCTTTTCTAATTGGACTATTTTTTTTGTTTGTGTAATGATGATGTGGGGATGGTATTCTGAACAATAAAATTCTGAGCCTATGGGTCGGGTTGACTGCTACACAATTAACGACAACTCGGTAGAATTGTGAATTATACACTACAAAAATCCTGGAATTATCTTTCCATTTTGCTGTACTTCGGTCAACTATTGATTGGTCAGAATACCTCTTTTAGCCGGAGGTAAAGTGGCAAGTTGATTCCCACTTGAACCAATTTAACACCATCCTGTTCTCTAAATGGTGTCATTTACAAGTCATTTCTATTTCCCTAACATTAAATTACATTTTTTCTCCCTTTCAATTCAGTAAAACGAGCACCGTTCATTCAGATTGTACATTCATTTATGCCATTTAACGACATCCTCGAAGGTTATTGCTAGTTGGGGCAACACGCAATAAATGTTCAGAAAGTTGTTTTTTCTACTGACATTTTGAAGTGCATCAATCAGTGCTCAATGTTCAAAAAGGTTTTTTTTACAACTTTAATGAGACGATCACGCAAGAGGTGCTAAATTTGAATGCTTTAACGTTTGGCCATTGTATAGCTAATAAAATAAATGAAATTATCGAAGGTGAAGCAGAATACTTATGGAGAATGTCAACTCCGTATTTCATGCTTGGAATTGGGATTATGTTGCTTTATGGATGTCTTATTTCAACTAACAACCAATACAAGACTGTTAGGGCGACACAGCACATTGGGAGGTTATATAAAAAGGTGGTGGAGATTTGATAGGAATAAAGCGACAAAATGTTAGTTATAAATATTATATTTTTAAATTTCACATTAAATTACTTTCATTTTATACAAATTTTATAAACAGTTCATATTTATGCTATATGCAATCTTTATATTTTGTGATATATTCGTAGTCATTGTTACCACCATCATTCTTTCAATTCAGTTGTATGCCAATCTCGTTCAAAGGCCGTGTATAAAAGAAATAACGGACAAGTTGTTTTCTTACTCTTACGAGTGCCAAAAGTATTGTAAAATTTTAACATCATAATGGTTCATCTTACGCTGAGCATATGAAAACAATACAATTCAAATTTACATTTTGCAAATAAAGCAATAAAATAAAGGATTTTGAACTGGTCTTTTCTGTGTAAGTGTACGCTGAGCATGTATAGCTTTTATTTGAGCTATTCGGAACTACAATCTTACGTGTGCTGTTCCTTTAGATCCAAAAATAAGCTTCCTTTTCCAAATAATAACGTGTCTTATCCAAACAAAATCATAATTGCGATGACATCAGAATCCGGAAATGGTTATGTGGAATTTCCACGGACTTAGATCGGAATGTTGCAAACTGAAGCTATATGTGATCTCAAAACACTTCCAAAGACTTCAAAATCCTTTAAATTCATTGTACTAATTCGTATTTTTACTTCAATAACGAAAGACTTTGGTTATTTTGATATAGTATGATTTGTGAACATAATGAATTATGGCATTTATGACTTGAGCGTACAATGTGAATGATTTCAGATCGAAAATTTCATAAATAAATTAAAAAAAAGACTCAAAACACAACAACAAGCATTCTTCTAATACATTTTCATATCATAAAGCGTTTTTTGTGGGTCTAAACCAAATAATTAGCTTTACAGTTTTCTTATCCATCATTATACCAATTCAGATCCGTGTCTATCATAAAAGATCGACTGGTGAAAAATACATGTATGTATATTCTAATTATGTACTTCAGTTTCCAATATGTAACATCCAATCATAAAAATATGCGTAAAAATAAAATTAGTCAATTAATAGCACTACTAATTCACCTTGTATGTCCACATTCACTGAACACATCTTGAACACAGTTTCAATTCATATGATTTAAGCGAAAAATGTTTCTTGATATCACAATTTAGTTTTAAAGTAAGGACATTGGATTCATCACGCGTCAGAGGAAAAATAATCCGTATGAATAGCAGGAATCGGCCTTCTGTCAGTTCCTTCACGTGAAGACAATCGGTCACCTGATGGCGATAAAGGCATTTCTGGACGACTTAGTCTATGAGAACTATTTCCCCTAGACGGCGCTCGACGTCGGCCATCTTGGAATCCTTGTGAATTTCTCGGATTATAATGAATTGTTACGCCAGATCCGTCGTTTGGAAGGTTCACAAATTGAGTTTCGTTGGAAAGACTATGAGGAATACGACCGCCATCCATATCACCTCGGTAATTATGTTCGCGCTGATAACGTTCTTGACAACCACAAACTGGCATCATTTCACGAGAATCTCTCGACAATCTATGTCCACTTTGAGATCTGCGAGGAGGTACGACGTCTCGAATCCGCGGGTCATTTTGGTTGACATTCTTAAACATGTTTATCAATTGTCTATCATTCCATGGAGCGTTGTATTGTCTCCCTTGTTCATCAAACCAAATTTCATCGCCAGGATCGTCGTTATAACCTGGATGTCCGAAGCTAAATCGGATTAAATCCTGAGAACTATTTCGGTCGCAATTCTGCCGCGTAGGAACACATGCTACGCATCCTATTTCTCTTGAATGTCTATGACATGTGTGACACGGTTGACACCCATAATGCACACTAGGATCGTCTATATATTCGTACACTGGAGAATGTCCTCCTGTGCTATGACTGGCACAAGATGAAGAATTGTCTCCATCCGGGAGTATTCGATAATTAGCGAAATGACAGTTATTTGGTAATGGTGGTAAAGGACGACGAAGTAAAGGATTTTGATTTTGATCACCCAGGGAGGCTGAGGCCGGAATGCTAGTTGGTGCCTGAAATGATAAAAATGGGACAATATTAGAACCATAAATGTAAAACTGACATTACACTTAAAACAAATCGCGGGAGCAACAAAGTAATCTTTTGTCATTTCGGTTTTTGTTTGTTTTTAAGCGAAGTGACAAAATTGAGGACATAAACTATACGGATGTACTCTAAGGTTAGGGCCAATTAATGCATATATTATTACATACACACCATTTATGTAATAAAAGTGAAAATAAACTTTTCGATCTGCAACATTATGAATATATTGTTTGGTAGAAACCGAATATAAAAGAATTCTCTGAAAGAAAACTTTACTTTTTCCGAAATATAAATCCTAAATTCCATGGAGTCTGGTTTTGACAGAATGATGAAGAAGTAGAAATGATAGAGACGGAATGCTATAAATAATCAATTAAACGCCAGGAGTTATCACTAGAACTCAAATACCCCATAAACTACCGTATTAATATCACAATTTATTCAAAAACATGGCGATAAAGACACCAATTTACACGATTCTACCATTTCACACACTAATAAATTATAACGCGTTGAAAAATAATCTCAGAATTTCATTTTTAGACATGGAGCTGAACTGGTAAGGTGCCTGAATTATTTCACTTGAATAATCCTTAAATGGCCCAATTTGAACAACGGTTACAGCCCAACTTAAATCATTTATTGTCTACGTTTAATTAACTGTTGTTTTGACCTAACTTCCTGATTGCCACACAAACAGCTTTTGTTTAGTCTACTTAACAATTATCCAAGCGATGAAATTGCTTTTATAGTTTCAGATTTTCACAAGTAACCTTGTGTATATTTCGTGTGTAATAACAAAGCATCTCTCCTTCAAACTATCTTCATCCAAAATCACATGAACACAATAAATTTAAATACCTTTTAACGCCCAGGAAATATTTCACGTTTTAGATAAGAATAAAACAAAATAAAATCTTCCCGCCAAAAATGTGACTACATACCTGACGTCTGCTGTTATTGATACCAGACGTGAACATTTTATCACCAGACGACGGATGGGGCGGACTCGATTTCCTTTTACATTTTCTTTTCCTGAAAAACAAACGAAAGAATTTGAAGTATTTTAAAAGAAATAACAACGAAATAGCTAAACAAAATGTGTTGAATGCTCAAAATTGATACAAACGTCATCATTAATCCCACTTGAGCTGATTTAATGGAATACAAGTTTGAATGTTATGATATAAAATTAAATGCAACCCCGTGCCAACAAGTAACGGATGAATCGTATTTGGGGCATCCTGACTTTTAACAACTTAATTACATTATAAACAAAGAACGTTGGCCTGTACACCTACGATCTCTCCTCGGCACGCGTATCCCGACCCCCTGGCGAATTGAACAAACATTTTACGCTACCCTCGGGACAATGAAGGTAAACAATAACAAAGGCTAAGACTTTAAAGATTGATGAACATTTTTGGAGTAGAGATCACATTGAAAAACGTAACACAAAATTATAATAGTAATTGGGTTTTATTGTACACAAAGTGTACCATCACGTGTCATATTATACCAGAGGATGACAATGTAAATTGTTGAAACGTTTCTGATATAGACAGGATGCAATATCATCGTTTGATACGGCTAATAAAGATATTGATTTGAAAATAAATGAACAGTACATTTAACTCTGCATCTTTGATTCAAATTAACCGTCTCAAGTGTTTTCGAAATCAGAGTATAAAATGCCAAGTTTGATTTCGACATTTAAAAATTGACTGGCTAATGAAATGCAGCTAAATAGTTTAACCAGCTGAAAAGATGTCTGGCTTTTTTTTCTTTACAATGTTAAAACTTTCATCTGAATGAGTTTTTAGATTTACTGAAACAATATTGCTTGATTTGTTGAAATTGAATTATCACAATTCATCACGCGAAAGAAAATTTTGTACTTGAAAGTCTACCGCTCGGAGCACACAGTAGACAAGGGGGGATTAGAAGAAAATACTATTGATCTGAATGTGCCTTACTCGATATCGGATATCCCACAAAACGGGCATACGAGAAGTATACTCTAAGCATAGAAAACTACTCAACCAGGAAGGAAATCCAAATGATGACTCTATAAAGGCAAAATACTAAAACGTTACAGGCAGTATTGAAAATATTGGGAAGCCCAGTCTGCATGAATTTCTGTCATCCCCTCGAAAGGTAACCCATAGAAAAGCCTTTATAAAATTGGTAACAGATTATCGCCTTGAGGTATCACAAAAAAGGTGGGAAAAGGCAAGCTGTAAAGATGCCTTGACTCATACAATTGCAAACTGCTCGAAGAGCATTTAAATTGGCATCAAACCGCACATTCCGCCATCAATTCTTTTGTTCGACTTTCATTTCCATGAGCACAAAAAAATGTTATAAATTTTGTCGGGGTTATTAGCTGTGAAGGACAGAACCAAAAGGAAATGGTTTTAAACTAAAATAAATCATTATTTATCGGTGAAAAACAAGAGGACAGTGATGGTTGTTCACTGTGATCAACATGGAAGTTATCTATAATTAATATACGATACGGGACCAGCTCTCGTAAATAGTCGATACTAGTCAAATGTCATCAAATGTTAATGAACCAAAAAGCCGATTGTCACAAATCAGGTTCTGTGAAGGTAACGCCACCCAAAGACTCGCGTAATGTTCTCTAATTACGAGCCAGACAGGAGCTGAAGAACGGGACAGCTGCTTAATTAAGATAAATAACTTTGATTTATTGAAAACTTGGCAACAGTTTACTTTGTACTGTCTCCAGCGAATATTTGTCCTCAAAAGGAATTCCATCTCGTAGTCTTATCAGTCCCAACCTCAGACAACTGTCTTAGCACTCAGAGATGGTTAAGATACAAGATAAAAATAGTGGTAACATTTATGCCAACATGTTCAATAAAGAAAGCCGTCATTTTCAGTTTATTAACGTTTCCTTTGTTATGTTTTGTACATGTGTATTATCTATCAGTTAACGATCATGTAAACCTCAAATTAATTTATGCACTGGTATGGCTAATTGTTTTGGCAATACCTCTTACGTTGAGTGTATATTTATTATTGTAAAGTATAAATTAAACCATCAAATCGTCAGCATCACATTATGTGTGTAACGGAACTAGCTATGTTTATATTTTACCCACTTAATTGATTTTTAACAGTTGTTGATGTTGGTTTTGTCCAAGTTTTTTTGCAATATTTATCAAATTTGGCGCAGAAATATTTCAAATTTGCCAAATTGAGAACGATCATGTCATAATATCACAATGTTTTTGTTGGCTCAAACTTTCATTGTTTCTGTATGATTTGCTCTAGATTACATTTTATTTTTTTAATCGATGATGTGTTGTTTGATCATTTTAAAGTTTAAGTTGTCTTAATAGTTATCCTATTTATTATGTAAAACGCAGATTAAATTGTATTTGCTGTCAGCACTCGACAGCTTGGGCACTTTTATTTTATTGGAAGTTTAATCTAACAATGCAATGTTATGTTTTTATAACACCAATACATTTGTCCAGCAAATAAAATAAATAAAATTTCTGTTGAAATTTTGGTTTGAAAGAGGTAAAAAGCACCAGCGGAACGACACTGTACTCCATGCATAGAGTTAATTAACTTCCAAAACGGCTGCTTTTGTGCTCTAAGGAGGCGAACGAATAATTTTAATCTCATGAATGGTTTCGTTACTCTTACGCCTATTCATGTAACAATGGCTTCAGAAACCATGACAGAATTCTAAGTTGTGTACAATTTCATACTAAATCTTGGATTCACATATTAACTTACGGAAATCAATTTGTACTGATTTGATTTATTTAAAAGTTCTTTCAACATTATTCCAATTTAATGTCTGAGAAAATTGGAAAACTATAAAAAAAAATATGATAAAAATTCTAAAATAATTGAAGAAATACTTCCTCATTAGAAGTAAAATAACATTGGAAATTGTAATGATCATGGTAATTTCTATGTTTTCAAGAGGAAATTCCTCATTATTCTTCTCCATTCTTATTTATAAAATTAGATTCCGAGGAATGCTTGCTCATTATCACATACATTTTTTTGAAGATTGGGGATCCAGTCTTTTTCTTAACAAAGAATTTCAATGAGGCCAATTTAAGAAATATTTGACCTAGTATTTAAACAAAGAGAGCGATGAAATCTAATTGATATACTTTCCATGTTAGATTGGATTTTGTCCAAGTTGGTTCATAAAATGGACAATTTGTTTTTAATGATGTTAAACGTTGAATACTTTAAATGAAATATTATTATGTTGTAGCCAACCTGGTTATATTTATGTGTTAAAGTTATTTATTTTGGCTACAGACTTGTCTGTCTAGGTGCATGTTGTAGAGGTGATGCACCTGACAAATTGAATACCGTTTTGTGACATGGCTCGCGTATTGAACTCAGAAGCAGAGAATCCACTACTTTTTAAGCTTCCAAGTAACTACTGTGAGCTGAAATGAGAATGTTTTACCTTCATAAAAGTGTTGTGTTGGTTCTTATATAATTTAGCATGAAGATTTGACGAATATAAATCGAACAGCTTCTGAGTATGAAAGGTTTATGATCTGGATTAATGAAGTAGCTATAAAGCTGATAACATTGACGGCGACGAAACCACAGTATATTGTCTAATCGAAAGTTATCGATACAATATAAAACACTATACTAACCTATAGATAATAATAATAATTCCAGTCACAGTAAATATCACAAAGAGAACACACACTAGTGCCACAATAATTTTACAATTTAAAGAACAAGCGTCTTCTAAGATATCCCCAGGGGCACCTGCTCTGGGTGGTGGGGTAATATGACTAGGTAGATTTTTGATTCCACATTTATCCGCCATGAACACAATAATCCTTTCCCCTACACTAGGGGCAACACAGGAAGTCCAATTAGTCCGGAACAACAGGTCATTATTCCAAGATGGCGGACATGGGAACCGTTCCCAGAATGCCCGAAGGACTGGATCTAAAGATACTTCCGCCATCACAAGGCCGAGGAATGATAGAGATTTCTGGCTGTTCATTTATTCCTTTTTGTTAGCTTCTCATCCTAAAATAACAAAAAATATCAAATATATTATTTATAATACTCCAAAAAGCTACAGACATGATACTGCAGCTCTGCAGTGTTCTTCAATTTGTGCAGACTAAACAATCCACAATGTTGGAAATAAAAAGTAAGCTGATATATAGGCAAAACTTTCGTCATTCGTCATTTCTCGGAATATAATGGGAAATGTACAATATGTATGGGTATTCATTTTTTTAAACCTATAACTCTATAATATTAACTATCGCCAGACATTGTATTTTTGTAAAGTGTTGGAAGCAAACCCTGAGAGAATTGTATCAATAATTTGTTTACTGTTCATTCATTTCAAATCATTGCAGGTATCATATTGAGTTATTGCATGAAATATATCTCAAAATGTCTGGTTCAAATATCTCTTTGATGCTTTTATAAAACATACATATGTTAAACTTGTTACCGCTAAAAGTGTTTTCAGTTTATGCCAGAATTTCAGTTGAATGAAATTGGGCAAAGTTAATAAATTCACGGAATTGAGATGCGAAACCATTTAAACAAAACAGTCAACACCACTGAAATCATTAGTATTAAGGTTAAATGTAGAATTAACGTTTATTTTGATGGAGAATGACGATAAATTTTGCAAGAAAACATTAAGTTAAAATCTGAATAAACGAGCATAAGATGTTAATGAAATTCAGTAAACGTTACATTTAGACAACTTAAACCTCAGGGGAGGTCAGTTTTTTTCTTTGTTTAGATTTCACAATTTGTCTTGTGTTCCCTTGATATTTAAAAGTAAATTTAATCTCGCGTCAGATGTGGAAAACTAAGGATATACATACTGGTAAAATAAACAGTTATATATCCGCCAGGGTTCCCAGGGGTGGGGCGCGAGAACATTGGTCTGAAAACACTCATGTGACCTAATTTACACTATCCAACCACGTGTTCCTCATTGACCCATATAAGAAATTATGTGTCTATATTGATAGTGCTATTAATACATGTTTATATGTATATTTATATCACGCACCTGCAACTATGATGTTGATTACATTAGATCATGTATATTACTAGCTGTATAATGTTTTATGGTTGTATTTGATACTATGTATATAAACTCTGCTATCAAGACAGAATGTGGAATATGTCATGATAAATAAATACATCTAAAGAGAAAATGTCTTTCATAATTTGTATATCTTTGAATTGATATCATTGAGTGTGATTAAAACGAACACACACGATTAAGCCACACATGCGACTTAAAGGATCTCGTAAAAAAGATAAATTTGAAATTGATGTCTTATGTTTTACAGTATGAAAGGTTGCAATGTGCCAAGACACACTCTATGACAAGTAGCAATTGCACAAAGGTTGAAAGTTTATATACGTAGATGATACGAATGTTCACCTGTTGTTGTAACTTACAACTTTGAAATTCAAAAACAAAAACCATAATTGTGCTCTATTACCCTTTTTACGGTTGTCACTTGCATTGCTTTCAGGATTTCTCTAGCTGTCATTCGGAATCTTTTTCAGAATCATTAAGGTGAAATTTCATAAAATCTTGCAATCTAAATGGACATAAAGCACACGTGAATACAGCGTCAAGAGTCTTAAAGTAGTTTAATTTGTAAGATTAGAGATCTTTTAACACATGAATCACAAATGTGTTATCACAATATAAACGTCTTCACAAATATCAGAAAATATCATTAATATGTCCTATAAATCACGTCTAATTCAATAATAGTCTCGGTCAATAAGTCATCATATGTACTCAAGTCATCTGATGAAAGAAATGTGGTTACATAATGATCAAACGGCTAGACGAAGTCCGTCATTATTCCCGCCAAAAATTATATTAATTCCCCCAACATTTTAATAGCAGATTGGAAGCCAAGATTCACAGACGAGCAGCTTAATTGTGTAATTAAAGACATGGATCACTATCAAGTTTCTGTTGACCTCAGTGTGCTCGGTGCTCGATTACTGTTTCTTCTATTCCATTCACATAATATGATAATTTGGCTGGCTATTGTATTAAATGATACTACTATGAGAAACTCTTCAATAATAACAATTTGTATTACATCAAAACATTTATATAAGAGTTCATAAACATTGGGAATATATATACACAAAACATATGCTTTGAATATACCTTCCAACCTTAGAATAATATACTCTCACGTTAGCTTTAATATATACAATACCTTCACAGTTGTAGCTGTAATAGAAACAACCTGATGGTTCCTTGTATCACAACCCTTGACATTTTACTTTCATCCTTTTAACATCGAAAACTTGCCCCAGTCTACATACTTATAATTACAACTCTTGTAAGCTATTATGAAAATTACTTAGCCAAATAACGTACTTACAACGCAGGTCATGAAACAACAAATATTCATAATAACAGCCATTTAAATCATGAAGCCTGATATTATGGCTTTTTACGTTAACATGACAATTTCTTGAAGGTAGTTAATTTTGTATAATAGCAGACGAGAACGTGTCAAATTCAGGACAACGACGCGGATGTGCATCAATAAGATCAAGTTATCGTAGATTTGCTTTTGAAATACAACTTGTAGACCCAAGTAAAGTTTCCATTTCAATCTGACACATTAATTTATTTGATCGTTTAACATAACAAATTTATCTACTGAGAAGTGATGACCATAGCGAACCCTTATCAGTACCATTAGGAAGCTGATCTGCTGGCTACTGGGTTTTTAAACTGATAATTAGAAAATCTAAGAGATTATTCTGGCATCTGCCACTGATAATTCTATTCTCATATTTTAAAAACAAATTCTAGTTTTGTCTAACGAACAGTTGGTAATGATAAATCATAATTATTCGCCTATCGAATTTCCAGATATACAGATATCATCTAAGAATAAGTATCTAAGGATACAAGATAAAATAAGGGAAAACTAGAATACCACGAATCAGGTACAATGAATTCAAGAAGTTGCCCAAAACACACCGCGAAGGAAACACTGTTAAGAAAGTATCCGAAAATATAAATAGTAGAGATAATTAAGACACCATCCAGCAAATGAAGGTATCTGAATATTCACAGAGCGATAAAACAATTTTGTCACATGAAAAACCAAGACATAACGAATAAATAGAAGATAGCGAGCATAACGAGATATTAATCATGCGTTAAACAAGGCTCAGTATCAGTATATAACTCTAGCTTATCGTTAAGAGAGAAATCATGATAATAATCCGTGTGAATTTAACCATGAATCTATTCTCTTCACTTACACTTCATTATCACATTCTTTACTTTTTTATAACCTCAGACAGGGAGACAAACAAAAGGAACTGCCATTCTGCATTCTGGAGCTAGCGTACAACACATACAGACTGGCTATACAGTACCAAAAACAATACAAAGAACAGAATAGATAGCCAACTATAGTTGGGTTGCAGTGATTTCCACATGTGGTTGTGAAGATGCAAGGAAATAAACGTTGTATAATTCCCTAAGGATAGAGAAGATCCACTACTGAAACACATTACCATTACTGACTTAAGCAATTTCAGCAATTTTTGACATGTAGGATTGGTTTTCACAAGGCAACGCGTTAACAGCACAAAAGCTACTGTATGCTTTCAGACAATATCATCGCTATATTGCTAAAACAGCTACAACTAGTAAGCCAGACATCATAAAGAACTCTAATATATTTAATTAGACATCTTGTCAATTTTCACTCTGTTAAAAACTTTTAAAATTACATACAAAATATTTCATACAAGAAAAAGTGCCAAAACTGCAGACAAAAACAACATCATATCCAAATAACACATCATTTAGCGCAATTAAATCTTGCTGTTCAATAGAAGACTGTCAAACTTGCAGACAAAAATAATATACATGAAAAAAATTATGACCAGTTTCCTTAACTTCGATTACTGAATTTTTTTTTTCTAAAAAAGCATTCAATTATCCTCCATTCATGACTAATTGAAACCTTCTTTATAAACAAGAAGGAAAATTTGTAATATTTTCCTCTAATCTAATATAATTGTTTATTACATGTATATACATAATAAATTACGTTAAACTATTGTTGACCATGCATATATATAAAAGATAACTTACTTGTAAGTGAATATGCATGGGAGATACACATCAGTCAAATATCGTTAATGAATTAGAAATACATACTAAATTCACCTCCACAATGAAGAGCACTCTGAATTTCACACGTGAACCATTCAAATCAAGTTTTACATCCCTTATCATTTAACTATACTATTCATTGTACAATTACATTTACATCCAAAATCAGTCACGCTCTATTTTCTTACAAATTTGCACATTACATTACAGCAGATGTGAAAAGGCACAGTAGTTGAGTCACCTGTCAGTAATTTCCTCCCGAATTGCAACCACCGTTACCCACACTGGTAGTTTGACTTACATCCCAATGCGGTTGACATCGACATAATCTTCTTTTAATAACATCCGAAAAGTTAATTTGAACTTCCTCTATCTTGAAACAAGTGTAAAGCCATTATGAAACGAATCAAAAACTTAATTTCTGACATACTGTAATCTTAAAATTCACTGCTTATCTCCTTGGTGAAAGTTTAATTTCACTGACTTTACAAGGCGGTTATTGTATGGAGAACTCTTCAAGAGTCTTTCTCTATCTGCCCTGCAACTACTTCATATTACTAACTACCCTACTCTCAAACCGCTTACGGTGCCAAACACAGAAATAAATAACATCCGGTACAGGTTAAAACTTTATAGTCCATGAAAGTTATCATGTTCAAAGCAAGAGTTCTAACATACGGTATAGTTGATGGGATGGCATAACTATTACAGACTGGCATCAGGTGTGCTGTCCTCTCAGTCAGTCGTTGGCAGCCAAGCAAAAGTGGTAGACATTTCTTGTGACAGAGATGGTAATTAAAAAT